CTTTCCCTATTTTGCCAGTTGGACAAGGGATATTTATATCATCTTATCAGAGTTGTATAAGAGCATATAAAAGGTATTTAGTTTACTATTCAGGACATTCTCCAAATATATAGACTCACTGAAGGTCAGTGATTCATAGAATTCGGATCTGGCTGATGGAAAGTAAACAGAAAATGCAGAAGAAGAGAGAGACCATTTGTTGACTCCCTCATTCAAAACATCCAAAACCCAGGGCTGAGGCACAATAAGGCACAATTCCTGCTAACTACTTGTTTTATCTCTATGAATATAAGTGTCACAAGGGAGGAGCATTGCCTCATTCACACTTTTGGAAATTAACAAAGAAAAAATGTCTTGACTTTTTTGCCTGAATTCTTGCAAACTGTTTTAGGTTGGAGGTTGTTGCTTGCATGGGTGAACTAGAATCATTCTGATCCATGAAATGACTGTGCCTCAGCCAGCTGTCTCACAGATGCCTACCATTGATCATGAGAGAAGCACTGACAGATGGGAGTGGATGGATTTGTGTTGGAGTTCCAACCGCTTATCCCACTGCCCAGTTAATGGTAATACCCTCTCAGATGAGAAGTCAGGGCAGCATAGCAGACCTGCAAAAGCCAGAGTTTTAAGTAGCTCCCTCATCAGTGCACCAGCGTTCATGTGGACATGTATCCTCCCTATTTAATATTGAGTAGGTAAGAAAGCTTGTTTTGAAGAGAAGGAAACCAAAAGCAAAAGAAATGAACTGGTTATGCCGAAGTTCTTCACTCATCACTTGGTTCAATAAACATTGAGGACCTTCCTGCAGGGACAAATCTGAAGATGAGTAAGTTGTAGTTCTTATCCTAGGGAAGCTCATAGTTTGAAACTTGCATTAACAATGATAAAGTAGGGTCAAAATTCATCAGACGCATACGAAAGTTTCTGAAAGGGTGCAGTGGAGGTTCTAAGGAGGAAAATGTTGCCATCAGCTTGGGGGAGGGTCTTAGGGAAGGCTTTCGAAAAATGCACGTTATGGAATTGGCTTTGGTACAAAGTTGGGAAAGGAGTAAAGAGGAGAAAAATCCAGGAGGATGTCAATACCCAGATCTGTGTTTTGTAAAAATCACCATGGCAACAATGTGGATAGGTTGGAAAGAGGAAAGAGTTAAGTTTATAACAACAATAGTACCAGCTAACATTTAATTAAATGTTTATTATGTCAGGCATTGCACTTAGTGCTTGACCCACTTTATTTAATGTAATCCTTGAAACAACATATGAGACAGGAATTATCATCTCCATTTTATAGGGAAAGGCACGACAGAGCCCGGACGAACAAAAGAGTTTTTATTATTAGCCATGAGAACCCACTTAAGAAAAAGCTTTTATCTTATATCAGGGACTGTGGGATAGAGATGAGTTGGATTTTGGAGAATTAGGGAGGAAGATAACCTTTTTTTCTAAGAACAAATAGGTTTCCTTAGTGTCTGAGTCAAAAACCTCATAAACACTGAAAACACCTCTGAGATCCTATTCTGTCTAAAGGACCATGACTTAGTAAAATCTGCCTTGTCAAGTGAGTATGACTCCCTCTCAGGAGCCATGTCCTTTGGCTTATCCCTGTCCACTGAGATTCTGGCACTCTGCCTGGCAAATAGTGGACGCTCAAACTGTATTTGCTGTATGAGAGAATTTTCACCTGTCATTCAACATTCATTGGAACCTGGGGCAATTCATTGTTTTTCCCCCTCCCCCACACCTACCCTTGAGTTTTCCTATCTTTATATTGGAGGGGGCTGAACCGAATTAAGTCA